CTGAAGACCAAAATGACAGCAACTTGTCTGTTCCCCTTCCCCAATTTCCCAGTGCTGTTCCCATCCCCCCAATTCCCCAATAAAAATTAAAAAAAAAAAAAGAAAAAAGAAAACTATCCCTATTCTTAAAAAAAAAAAAAGAAAAAAAGAAAAGAATTACTGCAAAGCTTGAAGTATAAAATGCTTGAAGAGGATGTGAATATTCTGGTGAGATTTGTAATCCTTCAGCATTATCATGAAGATTTTATTTATATATGCAAAAATTTTAGAAGAGCTGTTATGAAAAGCAATTTTCTTCCTCGTAGACTAGGGAACACAGTGTAGCACAGAATGTATTATCCTAATAAATATCTTTGAATAGCAGTAAAAATAACACAAGCAAAATGCAGGTGATTAGCTATACTAAGTGAGCCACGATAACCTGAGGATGCTTTCCTGCACCACAGTTTTCTCATTTGTTAAATAATGGGGTATTGGAATGATGTCAAAAGTTCTGCCCATCTCTGAAATTATTATATTACCTGGCAAAATTCACTGTCATTGATTATTTTTTTAAATTTGAAAAGACAAGAAGCTGTAGCAAACTAGTATCTCATTTAACATCTGAAGCAGGCATTTAACAAACCTCTGAAATGTGAGGGTGAATAGTGCTGTCAGTATTGTTTTAAATTGTGCATGCATTTTCTGTGACATTTTAGCCCCTTGCCATGGGGAGAAAGATCTCTTTCACTGGTATGTTAAATGGGTTAGAAGTGTTAACTTTTCAGGGTTTTTTAAAATCTAAATTTTCCTTTACATTCTCAGGTATTATTTGGTTCAAGTGGCAAAAAGTAAACTCTGTTGAATGAGATGGACGGTGGACAACAACAACAACTACATTCATATTTTAACAGGTGAGAAACATGCACACAATTAGATTATATTGCTCTAAACTGAGCCTCAGGAAACAAGAATCGAACTACCTGTCTTCCCTTAAGACCCTTCTTTCCACGAATCCCAGGAACACCCTAGAATATAGAAAAGTCAAAAGTGAGTATTTGTTACACAAGTGAATGAGATATTTTTCCTCAAACATCAATTAATGGGGTATGCCAAAGAGAGAAATAAATTGTTCTTTAAATTGGTGTGATATTCTGAAAAGCTTCACTATATTAATTTAACCGAAATGGACACGTTTTTCCTAACAGAACCCTGATTTTATTCAGGAATCTATCCCATCTGTATTTCCAGATGGGATCCTGACATTCTTCTGATGATAGTTATTTGTCCAGAGGTAAGCACACAACTAAAGTTGGCATAACCAGACAAACAGGAAGGTCTTATTTTCCATACCCACTTACCTCCCTTCTGTCTCCCTGTCTCTCTGGCTCACCATAAACAAAAGCACATTTAGCCCTTGCACCAGCAGTCTCACAACCATATGGGAAACCAGCCTTAGGATAAAGCCAACATTAGGCAATGCAAAGCGGAGAGAAGGATGGTGATATCACTGGGCTCAAGATCATATTGTGCCTAAATCCCACCTAACCTATGGTTTTCTGGTCACGTAAGAAGCAATAAGGCTTACTTAAGCACTAAGGCTTTGGAGCCAGAATCTATGTTGAAATCCTGGTTCTGTTCCTGTTACTTGTATATAGTCTTAAACAAGCGTTCCTCTCTGTGTGCCTCATTTTCTTCATCTATAGTAAGAATCATAATAGTACCTTTCTCACTGGGTGTTGTGAATATTAAAGGAGTTAACTAATATGAAGTATTTGTATAGTGCCTTGCATATATATAACCATTCAGTAAATAATGTGCTGTTGTTGTTATTATCATCTTCATTAAAAGCTTTCTCATTTTTAAGCCAGTTTGATTTGGGATTTTCTGTTACTTGCAGTCCAAAGCATCCTAATTAATATGATCACTTTGAGACTTATAACTGTTTAAAAGACTTAGAGAATAAGAAATCTGTCAGGACCATGTAGCTTGAGATTTATAGTACATATAGATAAAAGATATCTTTGGGTAAAGTAATCCATCCACTTTCAACTCAACAGTGTTTGATAAATACTCATCTAATGTCTCTATCATAAAATAGTTTATAGGTGAGCAATTTGACTCATTTCATTAAGACTTTGTGCATCTTTACAGAATATAGCTAACCTTTAAAAAAAATGGGATCACACTGAAGATATTTTTTGCAAGTGAAACAAATGTTCACCAAGAGAAAATCTTCACCTTGTCTCACCAAAGAAGACTGGTCATTTTTGACTGTCATTACAGCACATTTAAACTCTGAATATTTCTTCTCTAGAAGAGTATTCATAAATAATTACAGGAACTGTGATTTAATTCACTTACTTGAAAAACTATATATTTGAAAAATTCACCTAGCAAAGAATAACGTGGTTTACTTTCATTTGCAAAAATCCGTTTACAGAAATGAAAACTTTGGCTTGAACAGCATTCCTATAATAGAATTAAATGCTAAATTCTGAGTATGATTCTCTATTTTCAAACCTTATGAAAATATACTAAAATTGTTTAATTCTACTGTTTTCAATTAATATTTACAATGTAAATGAAGGTATGCCAAAACACATCACTGAACTGCAATGGCACCTAAGACTAGATATGATAAAGTTAAAATGCCAGACTTCTGTACATAGCTTCATTTTTTTAAGTATAACAAGCCATTTTGCAAAGATTCTATTTTTATTCACAAGTACATACATTTATGAACAGCTATCTTCCATTAAACAAAAAATATATCTTCTGAGGCTGAATTATTTACTGTACATTGCATTTTACAGTTCAAGACCTGTCAAGAGTTTATATTCAAATGAAAGATCAATGAATTACAAATTCATTGAAATTTTCATAATTAGATATGTTAATATTTCATTTTGTGTTTTTTAAATTGAATTTAAAGTAGCTAATCGTATATATATATATTTGTATCAGCTTTTCTCGAAACAAAATTTGGTAAAATTCAAGATAATTTAACTATATATTTCTGGTAGGTGACTTTTTTAAAAGCTGGTTTGCTTCACTCAGTAAGACTACTCACCTGATACCTGAGTTTATGACCACTGTTGTACATTACCATAGTTATATCACTTTAGAAATGATATTTAAAGAAAATAGACTTACTCTTTCTCCTCCAGGTCCCAGTTGTCCTGCTTCACCAGGAGAGCCAATGAAACCCTTAAAGTAAACAAATAATTCTATATTATTTCATTTGAATGTTAACCCTGTAAGTAATTCCAAATAGAGATACTTAACTTTTTTCACAGTAATATAAAATTATACAACCACCAGTATGAATAACTTCCCCTCACCTTATAGCTTTTCTTCCAGAAGTTACAGATTAATCTTTTTATTAAAGAAAACTAGTAGAGACCCTAACTTAAGACATGGTGGCTAATAAAAACCAACAAGACCAAATCTTTTTCTTCATTGAATTTTATAGTGGGCAGAAAATGCATGTATATATTTAACTAAAATGTAAGGTGGAATGGAGGTATCAAAAGACTGTAAGAAGTACAGAGGAGGGAGAGATTCATTTTAATGTGGCAGGAGGTAAAGGCAATCAAATAAGGTTTCAAAAGAGACTGGCATTTTAAAAAATTATTATTATTAGTTTCAGGTGTACAAAAGAGAGAGAGAGAGAGAGAGAGAGAGAGAGAGAGAGAGAGAGAGACTGGCATTTGAGATAGGCCCACTGAGTAGGTAAAATCTTGGTAAGCAGAGGATGAAGAAAGAACACTCCAAGCAGAACAATTACAGTAAGCAGAGATATAATAGAGATAATTCAGGCGTGTTTGTAAATGGTAACTGACAGCATTTTATGGGTAAGATGCTTTAGTAAAAGCAAAGACCCACTGTGCCCTCAAGAAGTTTCCAATTGGTCTGAGAAAGAGAGCATATATAAATAACAATGCAAGCTATTTTATCCTAACATACTTTAGTTGTAGCTCACCTGTGGCAAATAATAATCTGTTTCAACAATTTAAAAGATAAAATGTACAGTAGTTTGGAGACCAGGTTAAGGATAGCCTTAAATTTCAGGTTAAGATTTTCAGACTTTAGATTTTAGACAACTGGAAGCTACTGACTCTGTGGGAGTGTGGGAGTGCCCTGATGTCAAGTTGTTTTTCTAAAATATTAATTTGTTGACAGGATACAGAATACATCTGAGGCAAGAAACACTGACTGTAGGAAAACCTGTTATGAAGGCTCTTTCAGTGGTCCAAATTTGAAGTAATTTGAGTCTGGATCATTGATTCACAAAACGTTATTTGAGTGACCATTGTGTTCCAGGAATGGGGATTATTATAAAGATGAATATGAAAATCATGCCCTCAAGAAGGTCATAGTTTATTAAGGAACAGGCTCATACAATAAGTAATTATATCATATGAAAATTGTGTGACACGATTATGTGACATGCAATGCGATAAATAAAATACACAATGGGAACTTTGGACGCAGAATGGCCAATTTTGTCTTGAGGGAAAATTTGGGAAAGCTTTACAGAGAAGGCAACATTTAAGCTGAGTCTTGGAGGCAATCCAGGAGGGTCTAGTAATGTGCTATCAATTAATCATTCAATCAATCAACAGGAATGAAATGACACTGAATTTTCATAGAACTGTAAATAGTTCTATGTGGTTGGTAGGCAAGGCAGGGGGCGGGGGGGGGGTTGTTGGAAAGAGTAGCAGTGGCCACATCATAAACTCTTGTATGTAATGATGTAAGTTTGGAATTTACACTGTGAGCCATTAAAAATTTAGGCATAGTGTTGATATAACCAAATTTGCAGGTTATAAAATTCACTAGGATTACAGTAGGTTGACATGTCTTTTTATATGTTTCTAAGGAGTAAAGCAAAAATGATTCTAAGGTTTACAGCTGGACTGATAGAAATATAGAAAACAAATAGGAAAGCTGAGTCTGGTAGAAAGAGGATGAGGTTTTTAGTCAATTTTAAGTTTGTGGTGATGATGAAGCATTCAAATATAATTATCTTGGCAGGGAAGTGGAAATGTGAGACTCATAGAAAGCTCATAGATATAAGATTTGAAGATGGATCAGAAGCCTTAAGGGTAGACTAGAGCTCTGAGAGGAAAACAAAGACAAATTATCACTGAACCAGAAAGAGAGGTTAAAATGGAGATGGGAGGAAAAGAATGACTTTTATGGATACAGAGAAAAGCCAAGGAACAAAAAATTTGAAGGAGAGATGCAGGAGGCCATTTTGACTAAATTCTAAATAAAGGCTACTTATTTGAATCAGAGAATGGGTGACTTTTCAGAGTAAATTTTTCCATAATAGTATACATTAAGAGAGAATTCAGGTTTTTTAAAAAAGTAAATGTCATTTGTACAGCATAGCAGCATTATTCACAATAGCCAAAAGGTGGAAGCAATGCTCAACAGGTAAACAAAATGTGGTATATTCATACCATGAAATATTATTCAGCCTTAAAAAGGAAGGAAATTCTGGCACATGCTACAATATGGATTAACCTGGAAGACAATCATGCTAAGTGAAATAAGCTAGTCACAAAAGGATAGATAGCGTATGATTCCACTTAAATGAAGTACATAGAGTAGTCAAATTTATAGAGACACAAAGCAGAATGGTTGCCAGGGACTGGGGGAGGGGGGTGGAGGGAGAATGGGGAATTACGATATTGTTTAATGGGTTTGGAGTTTCAGTTTGGGAAGATAAAAAAGTTCTGGAGATGGATGGTGGTGATGGCAGCAAAACAATGGGAATGTACTTAATGCCTCTTGCTATGAACTGAACGTTTGTGTCCCCTCAAAATTCCTATGTTGAAGCCAAATCCCCAATATGATGGTATTTAGAGGTAGGGCTTTTGGAAGGTAATTAGGTCATGAGGGTAGAGCCCTCAAGAATGGAATTAATGCGCTTATAAAAAGTGATTTGAGAGAGATGATTGCTTTCTTGGCCATATAAAGATACAATGAGAAGGTAGCTGTCTACAAGCCATGAAGTGGGCCCTCACCAGATACTAGATTTGTCGGCACCTTGATCTTGGACTTCCCAGACTCCAGAGCTGGGAAATATAAATATTTATTGTTTAAGCCATCTGGTCTATGGTATTTTTGTTATAGTAGCCTGAGCTAAGCCACCACTAAACTGTATGCTTTATATGGCAGATATATGGCATATTTTATATATGTTATGCATACCATATATATATTATGCATATTTTACCACAATTTTTTCTTTAAGTAAATGTTTCAGGAATCATTTCTAAGTTGCCTTAAGTAAGAACCTTGTGAGAGATTTAGTTCCTGAGGGTGAGAGCAACTTGGTGTTGCCATAGAGAGAAGAGTACTTTTGTCTGACAGGAAAAACACCTTTAAAATATCCTATGTTCTACAGATTGTATGAAAGTGCCAAAAAATAAAAGGTTAAAAGAGAAGGAATTAGTTTCCTTTTAGTTAACTTAATTTAAATAAGTGAAATATCTCTATAATTTGTTTGCTTGAAAGCCAAGCATCTAGAGGATGAGGAAGGTTTCTTTTAAAATAAGCCATTCAAAATATTTCTAATACCAAACATTTAGGATAATGATGACAAGCTGCATGTCCGTTCAGAATCATCAGCCATAGATGGCTTCAAGTTTAAAAACAGTTAACTTGTTTTAATATATACAACTGGACTGGAGTTTTGTTTCTAAATAAAGGAACAGATGCCCTAACGGTGTATACTCATCAGTGAATTAAATAATCAACTGAGAACGCAGAAGTTGAAAAGTCAGGCCTCTACTCAACATATCCTGTACAGGGTACAAGCACAACATTTTACAAGTAAAGATTTTAAAGGGAACAGTGCTGTGAATAATTACATAGGTGTTTCGTAAAGGTTTCTTGATAATTATTATGCTAAAATAAAATGTCAGGAGCACCCACCAAAGAAATAACACAGGGTTGTAGTCATTCTCAAAACACCACCACTAAACCAGAGATGAATGTGTAATGAAACAAAGACCATAAAAAATAAAAATAATGCATATGCTTTTGTTATTTGGACTGAAGGTTGTATATAAACGTTAGAGGTAATTTTGTCACCAGCAGAACCACTAAAATGTCAGGAGAGGCCCCCCACACATCTACTTTTTTGAGGCACCTAGCATCTTATTACACAAACAAATGCCAAAAGAGGGCTACAAAATGATGGTCTGTTTTAAACATTTACATTTAAAAAGTAATTATCTTAACACCAAAAAATGCAGTCAAATAACAGTGCCAGTAAAAAGATAATTTATCACATGATTTATAAAAGTATTAATTCATAATACATAGCATGTGGTATAGTCCACTAACAGAACACAAATTAAATGAAAAACATAATCTTGTCAGCATGTTTTTGTGGTTTTTGTCTTTTTAACCACATTTGGAATTAATGTCAAAAGTCTACATTTGAGGCCCTTTGTGAATGTGAAACCTACATAAGATGCCTCCTGCTCTCCCAAAAGAAATTAAAGAAGTAAATCAATCATAAAAAAGGTTATACAAATATTTTAAAATCTTTTTTATGAAGCTGGCCATCAAAACTAAAAATACAACTTGAAAAGGGTTACAACCTAGACACTAATTTTCAATACAAATGAGGTAAAAAGCAACAACAAAAGGATGTATATAATACAGTGCAAAAGTAATATATAGAACTTAGAAAAATTATAGGACTCACTGAAGCAAGATGAGACAGTGCCGTAAGAGAAAACTGCACAGTACAATTTGGAGTTATTAGCAGATGCACAAAAGAAACTCCCAAGTTCAATAATAATGATCTACCTAACAAATGCATGCTATGTGCTAGGCACTGTGTGTTAAGAACATCAAGCTCAGGTAGTTCTCATAGCTACCTGAAAGGTAAGTTTCATTAATACTATTTACTAAGATAAGAAAAATGAAGCACAGAAGAGCTGAATGAAATCTAAAGTCACAAAGCTAGTCAATGAGGGGTTACGGAAAAAATAAGAATAAAAAAGCAGGCCTGTCTAACTCCAAAGCCCATGTAATCTCTTCTTGCTTCCTGAATCCAAGTCAACATGTGCTTTTGGTGCAGCTTCTTATAATAAAAACACATTACTTTTCCCCATAATGTTTTTACTCAATGCAAGGATAGAGATAGCATGGGATAGTGGAAAGAGTACAGAACCAAAGGTGAGACTACCTTGGTTCTAGTTCTGGCCAGCTTTGACTTTGCCAAATTGCATAACTTCTTTAGCTTACTATTTTCTAATCTATAAACTGCAGACAATATACCTGTTCTCCGACTTTATGGAATTGATGGCAAAGTAAAAGAAGAAAATGCATATGAAAGTACTGGAAAATGTTTAAGAATTTTAAAAATTTTAAGCATCATTACAGTACATACTGTTTAAATACTTTATGCTTCGCTTATTTTAAAGAGGTATTTTAGATAATATAAGGCACAGATGTAGATTCTGGAAAATAACTGACCATTAAAAATAGAGATTTTTAAAAACAAAAATTTTAGTACTTTTACTAATTTTTCTAGAACTAGCTTTGATTTTAATTTGTGGCACACTATATAACATATCATAGTAAGTTTTTTCTTTTACTCTCTAATGATTAAAAGTGGCTAAAACTCCTATAATGATGTGGAAGTACAATGGTATGTTCCTGATATGATAAACTTATTTTCTTCTTGCATATATTTCTCCACTCTAGTTTTTGTATCATACTATTATCTCAAAAATATAAATGTTTTTTGCCTCTTCATTTTTTTATCATGATTTCTTAGGTCTAGATACATTTACATATGAATTATACTATACATGTTTATAGAAGTTATTCTAATACAGTAGACACTTTTCCGGGAGCTAGCAAAATGATGTAAATGAGGTAGAAGCTATCAAAGAATGATATAAAATCTACTACTATAAGAGCACTTTCTGTGGCCTTAACAGAGAAAATATCTATTAAACAAGTATAATTCTTTTCAGGCTAAACTTGCATTACATTTAAAGTTCCTACAAAAGTGTGAAAATGAGAGTATTTTGTATATTTTGTTCTACTTTTATGCAAGGATACTCAACAAAATGATGAAAAATGCTTACTTACTCGTGCACCTTTAGGACCTGGATTACCTTCTGGTCCAGCTAAACCCTAGTGCGAACAAAAGACATCATCATCATCATACTGCAGTAATTTTTAAAGAGTTGTTGATAAATATATTAAAATAAAGGGCATATAAAGAGGTATCACTTTCACAAGTATAAAATTCAAAACTCTGAATACTAAATGAAGACTATATATGTTCAAGGAATTTTAGACTTTCAGAACCAAAAGAGGCACTGTATATAATCTACACACAAATATATTTTAGATATCAAAATAAAGTAGATTAGCACATGTTTTTTTTGAGGTACAAAAATAATTTTTTATTAAATTATTTCTCATTGGAAAACTGTGTTCTTTTAAAATACTTCTAATTAAATTATCTAAAATATATTCCCATAGTTTTTTATAATAAGCACATTTTTTACTTCAGATCATTGTATATTTACAGTATATTTTATATTTTTCCAGATAACACAATCATTACTTGGCAGTAAGACTCTAATATGCAATACCCTCCATGTACTTTTAAAGGCCTAAAAATGAAATTTTGTTAACAATATATTTTGGGAGGGATTTTCATTTCTTTCATTTTTGAGAATAAAAAAAATATTATAGGGCCAGCTGAGTGGCTCAGTTGGTTAAGAGCTCACTCAAGAGTGCGAGCTCTGAGCAACAGGGTCACCGGTTCAATTCTCAGCCCAAGCTGAGCTGCCACTGTGCTGCCAATAGGTGGCAGGATGGGCTCAGCTAAAAAAAAAAAGAAAGAAAGAAAAAAGAAAAAAATTTATATTATAAATGTAGTTTTCTAGTATGCTAAATGAGTAAGTAATCAATTAACAAAAGCCTAGGGAAGAAAATGTGTTCTATTGGGTTGTCGGAGAAGTCATGACGCATTTCTGCAATGAAAAACAGAGAAAAAATACGTCATGACTTTTCCGACAACCCAATATCATTAGTCTGCATGAAGCAGTTAGAAAGAGTTAGAAATTAGAGGGGGATAAATATGAAATGATTACAATGAATTTTCAAAAACAGTTTACAAAGACTTAAATTCGGTGTAGATAAAAGTATTCAGCAGTGGTATATGTTGCGCCACCAGCTGTGTCCCAAGTTTTTACAACTGTGTTATTTTAAAATGATGTTTATTATACAGAGTCTTAACCCTTACCATTACTTTATTTTAGTCAATGGCAGTCTTGTAAAATAATCAGGAGGGCTGTTTTAAAATCTTATTAGACCCTTGGGCATTTGAATTTTGAAGGTATATCACATAAAAGAGGTTCGAAAGCCTCACTCCTATATTAAGCAAATCTTGCTGCGGTAAAATTTTTGATGGATGTCTACAATTTTGACTTTGAAATTATTTTGCTATGAGTAATTCATTATGTAATACAAATAAACAAATTATCATTTGAACATTTACTCTCAAAATCAGTACAATATATTAATGAAGATGAACAAAAGAGGAGAAGTTTAAATATAGTTACCTCACCTGCCTGCCAGGATAACCACGTGAACCAATATTACCAGTGAATCCTGGAATTCCCTGAAATTAAAAAGTAAAATAAATAAAACAATACAACAAAGTCAAAAGAAGCCCAAGAAAACAAATCTGCCACATTCATAATACCCAAATTTGGAAACAATTTTTCCCCCATAAAAATGCAAAGAGTCCTGCACATTGCTTATCTGTTTGAAATCACCTATTTGAAATGAAAATGAGCCAAAATTACTAGATAAAAATAAATAAAACTGTTAGACTAGGGCCCTAAGGGAGACATTATTAATGATGGTAGATCTACCACAGAAAATTCCAGAGCTACATAAATAAAGACATTAATTATACAGAAAAAGTTCGTACATTTCTTAACGACCACCATCTTTTTGGACTGAATTCCTTCTTGTCTCAATCATCCTGCAACTCTTCTTAATTATCTGAGCATAAGCCCCATAAGACTAAAAGGGGCAGTGAACTTCAAAACTGACCTCTTGAACCTTCCTAAGGCAAACTTTTTCTTACAGCAAATCTGATTAAGTAAATGAATATTAAGTGGTGAATGAATACCTGTATCATGACATAGGTCTATCTAAAAATTCACATAGTAACATTGAATGGTAAACTCATTTTGAAATGATAACTATATTGGTTTAAAACAAGGTTTGCTCAAGGAAGGCTGATACAGGGAGATTCAAAGGCACAAGAAAGGAAACTTGTTCAGAACTGGGTGCAAAAGTAAAAAGAAATACCTCCATTTCTTCTTACATTCTTTCACTGATACATCATTCATTCATCAGTTTATTCAGATTTTAGGTCTATTAATTAATTCTTGATGTAAGGAAGTGTCAGATGAATGTGTGCTTAGCTGGCTTAACTTCACCTCAAGTGGTGACTGCAATGGTAAATTTTATAGATTTTTTTGTTTATTATGTAAAATTCATTTCCTGCTTGTTGCTTGTAAAAGAGATAATAAAAGACACTAGCCCTTTCCCATCTGCTCTGAAGTAGACTGAAGGGTGTTACCTCCACTTTAACTATAGAAACACTACAAAACTCCTAAAATTTGAAAAATCTAGGGAAAGAAAAGACCAAGAAAAAGGCAAATAGAGGATCATAGTTGAAAGTTTTTGCCCTCCCATTCCATTAGATATTCAGGCTCCTAATACATCTTTCTATCCATTTTTCTCAGAATCCATCTCTCAATTTTATTCCACCTCATTTCTCTCCTTCCTCTCTCCCTTCCTTCTCTTGCTACAACAATGACCATTTACCAAGCACTTTTTTTATTTGCCAATCTCTATGCCAAGTATTCTACATTTAAGGACAAATACTATTTTCTCCATTCTACATTTGAAGAAACTAACATGCAGAGAAGTTACGAAACTTGCCCAAGATACCACAGTAAGTAGCACCGCCTGGATGCGAACCCAATCTGACAAAAGTTGTCATGTGTGTATATGCACACACATATACACATACATACATATGTATATACATATACATACAGACTTGTATACATACGACAATGGACAATTTAACAGAATGTGAATAAGCAGTGGCCTTCTGACAATTACAGAATAAAATTCTTGTCTACAAGTGAAGAGATTATATCCTACGAATTTCAGAAACCATATTTGTGTACTAAATATTATCTTATTATTATATATAATATATGATGTGTTATTCCTATAACATTTATTGAGCCACTATCATGCGATAGAGAATATTTCAAATATTATATATATTATCTTATTTAATCTGCTCAAACCCTATAAGGTAGGTGACCATTATCCCTATTTTACAGATGACAAAGATGAGACATAAAGTGTCTGTCACCAGTGCAAAGCCACTCATCTAGTAAGTGGGAAGCCAGGATTTAAATTAGCAAATCTAACTCCCAAGACCACTATTCAAAGCTGTCTCCTTATTACAGGTTTGAAGTACAAATAACTTCCAATAGTACTCTAGGGAAAATGCTCTAATTTATGATATTTGGTCTAGTCTATTTACAACTGTTTCTGTTATGTCCCATCCTGTTCTAAAACACACAAGCCTCTATCCAGATGTTCATAAAACCTTCTCTTTAAATATGCCAACAGAATCCTTTAGCAAATTAAACAGGCTGTTTTTATTCTGTAGGTTACTATCTGACTAATGTCAACAACCATCCCTTTCGTTCCTTGCCTAGCCAAGTTAGGTTAACTGACCCCAATTAAAAAGTAATCTGTTACAAGACATCAATGAAATCTGATTGTGAATGGATTTTCATAGAGGGTGTTAAAGCAACATGTAGAGATCCAACACATTCCAGCTGCACAGAGAAATACATAAAAGAACTCCACTTGATAGTTAAATTCTGCTGTACTTGGAATAGCAGGAAACAAAGTAAACAAGTAAGCCTTCAGCATAATCTTATATGGCATAAACATATTCGAAGGCAACCACACCCTAAAATCGCTGTGACAACCACAGAAGCTCACAAGACTCAAAACGAACACGATGGCTCAATTCACTCTGCACTTAAAAATGGTTAAAAAAAAAAAGTTGGCTCACTTAAATATGTAAATTGGATAGAGGAATTCAGACAAAGAGTTATATTTTATAGCCCCTGGAGGAATTAAACTAGGAAGCCTGCCCCAATCCCACTTTTCATTCTAAGCATCAAAGCACACACTCTGAGTCAGTCAGCCTTCCTGGAGGGTCCCAACAGTGCTACCACGAATCCTCCCTGTATCTCAGATTTCTCATTAGTAAAATAGAATAATAATACATAGGGCATAGGATTACTGTGTGGAGAAAACAGAATAATGTGTAGAAATATATTTAAAGTGGGGTAACTGCAATAATTCTTAGTGTTGCTAAGCATTAAATTAGTTAACATATGGAAATATTCAATACATGGTTATACTACTGGAAATTGTAGTTAACAGGAGTAGTACACTATGGCAACTGATAACTCAGTAAATGACAGCTCTTCTAACTACAGCTGGCACAGATGATATAAATACTTTTCCAAATGTTTGCTGACCAATTTATAGATATTTACAAATTATCCAGAAGTGAGTGTCTCCTAGCAAATTCATTATATTCTTCTTAATGTCCACAATGTTTTCACAGCTAAAATACAAAATGATTTTAGTTGTTCCTCACAGTTATCAACAATTTTGCCTTTTTTTCCCCCCATAAATAAATAGAATAGAAAGTAAGGACTGACTTTGAAATTCATTTTCCAACCTTTAAAATTGCTTTTAGGCTGTTTTAAAAAGAATACCACTCTCAGATCAACAGATCAACAGGTACACTAACAGAACTAGGTTATAGAGCTGTTGTAAGAGAACTGGTCAATACTGACACAAGATCAATTTTTCATTTACTTGTAAAATATCACCTTTTCTTTTTCATTGGAATCCACACATTTCTGCCAAAGAGGTATTCTAGGAATTTATTTTTCTATCCAAAGACTAGTCCCTCCCACCCTTCTAATTTTTACCCACAAGTGTTTAAGTGCTTTTCAACACTTGTTTAATCTTCAGGAAACTGAGATTTCACCTGTTACAGAAACATACATCAGTTTGGTTGCCAAGCCTAGTAATTAGTGTTCTTGAAAAATTAAGTCTCAGGTACTGAACAGAGTGTACTAGCCCAATTAACATGAATGAAATAGAAAATTAGCTTTATTTCTCCATTTATATCTTTCCCTCAGGGCCAATCTCCATCACATTTCTTTCTGGAGCTCTCTTCAGGGCTTCCTGGGACTCTCTGCTGAATCTCCAATAATGGTATCTGTCACCCTAGTTAATTTTTAATCTCCTACCCTTTCTATTGCTTTGTTCATATTGGCCTAGTACACACTGCATTGAAAACAAGAGATATAACTTTTTTTTTCCTGTGGCAAAATGATATAATATTTTCTGGTGGGAGAGAGAAGGAATGACATGATTAAAACTAAATACTGCAGTTCCAAAACTATCTTGAGTTTTAAATATATGCATATGTGTATAATGAACAACAGCATATCTGCCATTCTAATTTGAATTTTTCTTAAAATTTATTTGCATTCCATCATGCAAGGGTCAGGGAACAAACAGCTATGAATAGGATTTAGTGAACAGGCAAGCCCTTGAAACTGTACAAAAAATCAGGGGTGTGTGTGTGTGTATGTGTATGTCTGTATTTGTGTGTGTGTGCATGCATAAGTGTATTTTCTAAAGAAAGTGTTCATAGCATTTATGAGATTCCCAAAGAGTCTTATGAACCACAAAAGTTTAAGAACCGCTGCTCTGGAGCATGTTAGGCAAATAGTGAAAGTCAGTATGGAATATGAAAAATAAGATAAAATAAAATAAAGCAAAATTATAATAGATAATCAGTTAAAAGCTCATCCTGTACTAAACAGTGAAAATCATTGAGAAGAAAAATTGAAATAGTAAGTGATCTCAATGAAGTTCCCTAATGGGTATCTTTTTCACTAGAGAAGATACAAGTTTTATAAAGGAAGTACTTACTTGTTCACCTCGGAGTCCTGGGGGCCCTGGGTGTCCTTTGAGACCCTGGAAGAAAAAGGTGAAGAAATGCTATGAAAAGTAAACCCATATAAACTAAATAACTAAACATAAGTTCTAAGTTGTATTTTACCCCAACTTTTGGTTTCCTCATCAATACAAATGTAATTATTACTAATGTATTTCTTAATAAATTAAATAAGAATTTAATTTTTATTAAGCAATAAATTTTATTAATATTCTTAATTATTTTTCAGTATTATTTGAGTGATTTGTTATTATCAACTAAAATGGTAGCATAGTATAGAACAGAGAATAAAGAACAGCTTCTTTTATAAAAGGCTAGCATCTAGCAATGGAGCTGCTAAATTTTGCTATCATTTTATAAAGTTGGTTTTAGTTCATTAATGCTGAAACAAAATGCCCTCAGACAAAATCTGTTTGTAATTATTGAAAAACTAGACCACATCCACACAGTTTCTCTAATTCAAATCACTGTGATAACACTCCATGAATAAGTTGAGACAAATGAAAGAGCCTGCTCACAGGTCTATCAAAAGGGGTTTTATAAAGCTGCCTAAGAAATTAGTAACAAATGTTATGTGTCAATTATATCTCAATTAAAAAAAATAGTAACAAAAAAATTTCCAAATAGAACCCAAATCAAATCTTAATTTCTCTCATTAACACGCTAAAATGTAAAATAGATAATATCCTTTTTCCTCTAGAAAGAGCTGCTTCTTTGAGCAACATGAAAGAAGCTAAAAGAAAGGATAGGAAGAAATAAAGGAACACTTTGGAGCTTACTTGTACAGCTCTAATCAACAATCAGTAAGTCAATCCTTACTAGATTTTGGCATACGTAAAAGAAAAAGAAAAAAAAATTCCTTTTTTAAGAAACTCAGAAGATTTTTAAGCAAATTATTACTCAAAAACCTGAAAAAAATGATAGCTTATACATATCAAAAAACTTCCAATTAATATACTACAGACAGAAGATAAGCTTTTGCAGTTTCAGAATACAGAGTAATATAGTGAAAAGAGTTATTCAGGGTTAATCACTAAGGGTTTATCAACTTGGATTAATGAATTAGAGAAAGAAGATGCTTTGGTCAGATGATAGGGAAATTAGAAGAGGTGTCTATTTCAAAAATAAGGAAATGATTTAAGCAGCTTTTGAGATGTTAAACTTAACAGTAAAATGTTCAAGTACAGGTGCCTTTTGGGAACCAGAGAGAAGACTGGAAAAAGTAAGAAAGCAAGTTTCGAGACAAAGATTTTTGTGTTATCTGTGTGTTATATGTAAGCATATTAGTAAGAAAGAAGTGACAGAAGGAAAAAAAGAAGAGGGCAGAGATAAAGGCCTATCCTCTGGGAGTTTGGTTCTTTTGTGATTAGGCTATTTATTAGAAAGAGATCAGAAAAGTGACAATGAGAAAGAATGGAAAAAAGGAGGTGGGGAAAGGAAGGAAGGAACACAGGAACTTCATTGAGCTACTATATGCCAGACATTGTGCTAATCACTTCCAAATACCTGTTAATTCTATGGCAATCTTATGAAGTAGACATTTTTCCCATTTTACAGATAAGAAAACTAGCTCTGAGAAATTCAATGATTTGACCAAAGCCATGAGAGTAATAAGGTGGAATCATGCTGGTTTGATAGCTGTCTCAAGAAATGAGTAACCTGCTCTTCTAATTATTTGATATGCTATAGTTGTCTCGGACTCAAATACTGGCTGTCCTCATTCAAATCAACATGCTCAAACATTAATTATAGACCACCAAGACAAATCAATAAAAGGAGCTATGTTTCATAAAATCATGGTATTATTAAAGCTACACATTTACCAATAGCAGCTAATATACCCAATGTCTTAACTCAATTTTGCTGAGTTTATATATATATATATATATAAACTCATATATATATATAAACTCATATATATAAACTCTTATATATATATATATATATATATATATATATATATACATATATAGTTTAAGATAACTAAAGATCTGCCTAATGAAAAACATGAGACATATTGTTTTTGGTTGTTGAGATGTTATACAAGATTCTACAAATAAAAATATCCACAAAGCTAAGTGTTTCTTTCCCTCTTTGTAATAGGAAATCAGAGCTGTCCTCAGCATTAAGACAGTGGTGGTGGCTCGCTGGGATGAGGCAGCTCGAAGATGGTGGAAGCTAATAGTTTCTAGGAGAGTGTCAGGAAGATGAAGAATGAGGTGCGAGGGTGAGGGGCACATGGGAAGAAAAACTCTCTGCGATAAGCCTTTTTCTTTTTCTTCTTTCTTTTTTTTAAAGTATGTGTTTATTTATTTACTTACTTACATATTCTTATTTCTGTGAACCCTTGAGTCCAGCTGCATACTTCCCTTTCTTTGGCCACCACCTGATTTTCTGACCAGAGTGTCTTCCCTCCCTAGGTCATGGGTCAACAGAATGCAGCGGTGGTACAACTTCTTTGTTAGCTCACTTTCCCTGAAGCACTTTATCCTAGGGAACTAGACATATTAATCACGGTATCTTCTGTATGTACAATTCCGTCTGTAGGGATTCTTTATCATCCAGAGATGCGGATAAGGGGGCAGCACCCAACAGTCATGACCTTTTCTTCATGAGCTCACTCCTACACCACCTCAGCCACAAGAGATGGTGGCCAGTACAAAGTCTGGCCAGTGGCCTGCAAGGTCATTTGCAATGAAGATGTTTGTTCAAATAGGAACAAGCTAGGCCAGTCAAATTCTCTTTTATTAAGTTTAATTTAAAAAGAGAGACAGAGAGAGAGGAAGGGAGAAAGGAAAGAAGGGGAGGGGGAGGGGGGGAAAGTGACTGATTCAGGTACTTAGCAATAGGGGGCTGAAGCTGGAAAGAGTCATGCAGAAAGGTTAAGAGACAGAGTAGGGGCAACCAGATGCTGCAAGAAAGTCAAAGTGTAAGTAAAAAATTTAGAGTAAGCAGAAACTATGTTGAGAAAGAAAGTTGTTAGAGGGAAAGCAAGATAACAAAAAGGGAGATGCAGAGAATAGATGAGTAGCAATCCTAGTAGAAAAAAAAGAGTAAAAGATCTACAAACTAATGCTGCTAAGATACTCAGAGCTACTTTGAATCAGTGCCTGTCTGCATGAGGCCAAGTCATATTACAGCACCTATTTTTAGATTCCATGGGTCTCTGCTTCCTTTAATACTGCAGAGAGGATTGAAACAATTCTCTCTTCCTTGAGATAGCCTGTCTCCATCCTTTGCAATCAAAAGAGCCTAAGTAGAACAAAATGTTTTTGTTTTTGTTTTAAGGCTAATAACATAACAATGAAGAACAGACCAAGTACACTAAGTTCTAGATCCAGTTTTGTCACTAACTAGCTGTCATGAGCTTTAAAGTCTTCATTTGTAAAATGGCTGCATTGAGTTACATTATTAATAAATTTTCTTTTATTGCTTGCATTCTGTGATTATTTGAATCTGTGAAAAAGTCACCACTTTATTTATTTATTTATTTATTTATTTTTTAAAGATTTTTTTTTTTAATTGGGGAATTGGGATGGGAACAGTGCTGGGGAATTGGGGGATGGGGAACAGACAAGTTGCTGTTGTTTTGTTCTTCCGTCTAGTTGTGGAGGACGTTGCTTCACTGGCCCAAGTTGGCACCATCATTGCGCTCTTCCCCGGGCGAGGCACATCAGTCGCCGGCTTCTGGATGGCTGCTCACTGTGGCTGCTGGCTGCTCACGCTGGCTGCTGGCTATATATGGTAGCCCATGGCAACCCACTGCCACAGGGGCTGCAGCCTACGCCGTCGCCAGCGACTCACAGCAGCCCAGCTCCAGGTTGAGCTGTTGTTCAGCATCTTAGCTGTGGAGGGCAGTGTCACTGGCCCTCATATGTGGGATCCGAACCGGGGCCCTCTGGCGTCCCAAGTCAGTTCTTAACCAACGCGCCACTCGGCCAGCCCACCACTTTATTTTTTTGAATTTAGCTTTCATTGAATGAAAAACAAAGGCATATATAAGAGTCAATTCAGGCTTGGAGGTGTAGGAAGAATCCTAGATTGATACATGTATTAGAGAAAAAACAGATTCAGGTTCCCGTGGTCAAATGACCTGAAACCAAGATGGGGACTCTGGGATGTAGTAGGATGGAAGACAGTGGGTCCGGTAGGGCTATTACGATAGTGTAGGTGAAAGAGGATTATAAATTAGATTTGAGTGGTAGAGTTAGAGATGATATATAAGGCCCTTAAGGAGTTTAAACTTAAGTTAAGTTCCTTGTCAATTTTATTCAAAGTGGTATCCTCAGTACCTAGAGCAGGGTAATTAACTGTTGGAGAGACTTGAGTGAATGAATTAATGAAAAGACAAGGGTGGATCTGAGAGTTACTTGGGTGGAAAAATGGATTCTAAGTATTTAATATGATGTCTCAATTCTCTTAATGTTGAAATGAAAGGTAATAAGTAGGAGAAAGAATGTCTTGTTTATTTTTGATGTAATATTATATGTATAATATACTAGAGTTAGCACCACTATTGTATAAAGGCCTCCATTTATTCCCTAAATTTGTGATTATATAACTCATTTATTTTCTACTTAAACACTAGTCTATAACGTTTTAAAAAGCAAAGGGAATAAGTTCTTGGGGAAACTGCCTGCATTCAAGCTTTGGCATAGCTCCAATCTAGAGATCTGGCATTATATTTTAAAAAATTAGTTTATATTGTAGTCTTTTAAAAATATTATTTGAGTTACTGGAAGAATAACAAAAAAAGCTCCAAGGACTAACAACTTATGATTTTTTATCTGATGAATGTATTGAGAAAAACTGATGTGAACACATTCCTTAAGGAATGCCAATTGGAAATTTATAAATTCTGTTTTTATTTTTTTATTTATCTATTTTTTTAGCTGAGCCATTCTGCCACCTGTTGGCAGCTCAGCAGCAGCTCAGCTCGGGTTGGGAATTGAACTGGCAATCCTACTGGTCAGAGCTTGCACTGTTGAGTGAGTTCTTAACCAATTGAGCCACTTAGCCA